CATGCATATTGAATGGATGAGGGGAGGGGAGCAGTGGGCAAAGCAGAACAAGATGGAGGTCAGTAGGAGAAAGCAGAGAGCATCCTCTTCACTACCTGTACTAATAAGGCCAAGCAAAAACCAGCACTTTCTCTCAAAGGCTCCCCCCATCACCTCCCACTCCAAGCCCACCTTACTTGAGGCCACACTTGACCGTACTCTATCCCCCAACGCCCACATCCAGAACCTTCAGATAAAACTGTCAAGCAGACTTCAACCATTGAAAGTCCTTACAGGCAGCATCTGGGGTGCCTCAAGGGAATGCATAAAGCCAATTTATTATGCTACTTGTCGGTCAGCTATCGTCTATTGTGCCCCTGCCTGCATGCCTCTTGCCCAAGGAGCTTATAACTTTTTATCTCCTTGCTCTTGCCAACCCCAATGATCAAAAATATCATGATAAAGCAATAGGACGTCAACCGACGGTCAACCGACGGTCAACCGACGGTCAACCGACGGTCAACCGCTGTCCTGCTTCCTTATCAGCGCGCACTTGGTGTGGGTAGTTCAGCTCGTTGTTCCATTGTTAGAGGCCATCAAAAGTTTCAAATAATGTTGGTTTGAAGGTGAAGGATTGCGTGTGACCAAGGCCCTTACAACCAGACGGTTTTAGAACACTACACTTTTCAGCCTGATGTCTCACCCCCGAAAAGCATTTTTTTTTCATCACGAGGGTGATAAAATCACAGTCCTCTTTGATCCTCCACACTTAATTAAGAATTAGAAACAATTTGTTGATCTACCACAATTTCTGTGGGCCTATTCATCATGATGATACTGAGAACAGGGCAGTTATTAAATATTTCTATGAAAAAGACAGTGCCTAAGGTTTATTCAGGGTGGCACCCAAGTCAACCAACTGTGTGTCAAGTTTTGGACGACGAAAGGTTTGTTTCGCTGTGCACGTGCTTATTGGCAGTGTATCAAAAGCAATTAAATTGGGACACTACAGCCTATGTATCTCGGAATTAATCCTTAGTCTGACATCGCTTTATCTGATTTCTATAATGACTTTGATGTTCTTTTCAACGTTTTCATTTGGTCACTGTGTCAATCTCTGTCGAATATCGTAACCCAGTCACAACTACATCACAGGACCATGAATTTGTGCAGCAGACACTTCTGTGGTTGGAAGATGATTCATGAAGTTTGTCCCAGAAGACAAAAAGAAAGTTGCAAAAGCTTTAATATGAGTCAGTGAGTGGATCCACAACACCACTGCTTTGCATGGTCTTGTGGCTGACATTAATAAGCTGTTAATGGATGGGGGATTACTTACAGTGATATCAAGATGAACTTGAACATCTTTTCTCATTCACCATGAGAGGAAAAGGTAGACATATCTTGACAATCCAGACCCCCCACCCCCCAAAAAAAAACCAGTTACATTTTCATTTGAAGAGACAGATAATGGCCGACAAAATTATGATCGCATCGCCTTCAAGCAGTTGCAGGGATGTAGTGGATAGCTTTTTGAAATATCAAAATCTAACGAGTAGGAATTTCAGTCAAACAATAGATCTAGTTGCAATTCCGGTAGAACTTGATAAAGAACACAGATACATTGTTAATTTTGTAAATTTTGCAATACATTAAAGATGCAATGCACTTAAAAATGAAATTTCTGACGTACGTGGTTACACTTTTAAGAAACTTTACGATGCAATGACTGTACAAGGACATTGGAAGATTCCCCATCTTCCCATGCTTGGCGCCTCACCCTCATCAGCCAGAAACAGTTTGAACATTGTCGTCACAGTGGCTTGAAAAAGCCAGTTTAAAACTTGTGGAATTTGTTGGTTAGTTTGAAGCTGGAGTTTTAAAAAGCATTTTAAACCTTTGAAGAAAAGAGCGCACAGCAGACAGAATCTAAAGTTGAAAATGCTCCAGGAGCCAAACGTTATTGAAAACAAAGGTGATTCCTGCAAATGCAACACAGTGGACTATGAGTCAGTGTGTTTATTAATGTCAGACTACACGATGATCTTTACAGTGAGGTAAAAATTTCGAGGCGCAACTTGTCCTCAAACATCTTTTTAACGGGTGAATCAATGTAACCTAAACTTTGCACAGCAGTTTGTATCAATTTATCTTAGCATATTTATTTTTTTCCACAGCAATTGAGGCTAGGTTTAAAAAGGTATCTTCATGAATTTATATAAAATACTAAAATGGGGCCAACTGGTCACCCCACAGTTCGTGAAAAAGCAACACTACGTGTGTTGTGTGAGCTCTTTTAATACACAGAGCAACGCGCGCAGTCGCTGACCTCGATTCTCCGATAGCGCACAAAGGCTGAAGAAGGATTGCAGTGTCTCGGTATTTACGGTGTCTGACCACACCCTCCAACCTGCAGAAACTGAAAACAAAGCAGAATGAAGCAGCCAGAATCCTCACGGGCTACTCAAAAGATACTCGTGTGGACAGCCTCCTCATTGAAGCAGACATTCTACCACTAAGGCATAGAGCTGACACCTCCACCGCTATTTTACTCGAAAATGTCCATGCATCTGCCCACAATGAATCAACGCAGAGCCTCCGCAACAAAATCAGAGCCCATGCGGACAGGCAAATCGAGCTGGAGAAAGCTTGCCCAGAACCTGAAACTGAACTGGCTATGTACCCATGTGAGGAGCTGGTTGTTTTACGCCCAAAACAACCATGGAAGGCTGCATCATGCAGCGTGACCTTTAGTATTGATCTTGTCGTCGACTGCAAGCGTGCTGATGAACCAGCCATTAGGAAAGAAGAAGCAGAGGCTACCATTTGATTGCTCCCCCTGCCCAATGTAGAAGTCTGGACTGCAGGTTCAGTTAAAGATGGTACCGAGTATGGAGGCAAGAGAATACTGATCAAGACCTGTGATACCGAACTTGACCACTGTGTACTCACGGGCTGGTATTGTTCCAGCTACAGGGCCGCGCTTGTTGCTCTTGACACAGTGCTGGACATGCTAGATACACTACATACAGCAGGCAGTCTCTCGAACAGTGTATGCATTCATACACTGATTTCAGGTCAGCAGTCATGTGCCTCTCATACGGCCTCGGCAACCAATCGGAAAAGGTGGTGTGCTCAATCTTGCAGCGTCTGTACACACTCTGTCAACGCTCCAAATGTTCCATCCACTTACAGTGGATTCTGGGAAATCCTGGACTAGCTGGGAACAAGAAAGTTTACAGCATCCCTAAAGAAGCAGCAGCGCTTACCCAGATAGACACGCTAATCGATTTCTCAACAGCTAAAACCGCCATCCACCGGTCGACCCGCACAAGGTAGAAAAGAGGGAAACCCAAATTTATGTTCCCCAAGCCACCATCATACCAGTTTGAGGCGGTGATATCAGATGATAAAACAGCCGGCTTCTCTCCCAAATGAGAAATGGTGAAAAATCGCCCAAGCTGAAATCATATCTACACAAAATTGCACCAGTGTCGGGCCTGCGGCGAGGAGGACGAGACTATGGACCATGTGTTCCTGAAATCTCAAGCCAACTATCGTGCCAGAACACGTCTGCTCAGACATTTCTGTGACCCACGTTTTGCACATTTTAAGGACCCCCGAGCAACTGTTGAGTTCCTATGTGCTGTCGCCATTGCTGACCGCTTATGACGCCACAAGTGCCAAAAGAGAGAGGGAGAGAGAGAGTTGGGGG